CCGCCCCCTCTACCGTACCCCCGCACCCCCGCACCGACCCTCCGCGGCCTTGATGACGACGGCGGCGGCGTCGGCCGCGCGAAAAGTCGCACCGAATTAAGAGATCCGGCGCTCTAATAATTGGGGTTCGCGCCCACCCTCCCAGTTTCTTTCCCCCTGGGGCTGGACTCATCCCACCGTGCGCGTCTGTGCGTCACTCGGGGGTTCTTTTCACACCCCTTTGTTCTGGGGCGAGTGAGGAGGGGTATAGGACTTATTTGCCCGCCTCGACTCAACTCGCTATGGTATGGAATCAATCGATTGAGCAAACTCATTTCCACTGACGACTGACTCTGTCTGCCCCCCTCTTTGGGCTAATTCTTTTCATCAGCGCCGAGGCGAGCGGCTAGGATGAGAAATGTGCGAGGGTGCGTGTCTGCGTGCAGAATACAAATGTGATGTCAGCAAGCAGAAGGCAAGATATAGAAAAAGAAAAAAAGGGTGCATCTCAGGTTCATTGTCAAAAATATAAATTAACATTTAAAAAGTATGTTGCCAATTTATGACACCCCTATCTTGCTCGTCGATGAATTGCAAGTCGCGTACAGTGCTTTCCCAGTAAAACCCACTAAAAAACCTACTTAAAAGTAGTTTTCACAGGTTTTTGTCGTTTGCCATGTTTGCAGGGTCGGCCGCTCCAATGACGCCATGAGCTGGCCGCTCTATGCGGACCCGCCCGAGGTGCTGGCCGCGGCGCCGGCCTCCGCGCAGGCCTCGACCCCGGGCGGCACCCTGGACGGCACCCTGAAGGCTCTGATGCGCGCCGCGGAGGAGGCCTCGGCGATCAACGCCAGCCTGGACGCCCTCGGCTTCGGCAACGAGTCCAACGCCGTGTTCGACAACCGCACCTTCACCAACGACACGGACCCCGACCTCAACAAGTACTACTTCTTCCAGGTGAGTCGTCGCGCTGACCGAGGGTGCCTTCTCATTTTCCGCGGCAGGCGCAGTGCGGGGGGGCTGGGGTGGATTTCCTCTTTGAAGGGAGAGTCTGCCACAAAGTTAGGCAGCGAACAAGTGTGAATAACAAGATGCCAGGAGGAGATGGGGGTTGGG